TGACAAAAATTAATGTTTATTATTTATACATATTATTATATTCATTTTTTACTATGATAACACATGTATTATTTTTGTAATGCCAGTCACGAAAATTCAAATTTTGATTGCTGTTTAGCGTGCTGAAGATGAATTTCTCAACGATTCAATGTATGCCTTATTTTACCGCACAAGTTCGAGAAAAACACCTTTATGATCTATATTATCGCCACAGTTCATAAAGTAATTCTATAATATTATTGTTCAATAAATAAAATTATTATTTTCAATAAATAATATTTATCTTATTATATGCAATTTCGTCTTTTCTCTCTGTAATTGACTTTAGGGCATACGTGTACTTTTTGACTTATTGTTAGAATGATCCCAAGAAAATAAAATTTCACTGTGGACATTACGTTGCAGGACACCTGTATATATATAAAAGAGAGACCGATCTGTAATAATTATAATTGATTATAAAGTTACATAATTTTTTGTAAAAAATAAATGATTTTTATTTGAAAAGTATTTCGACATTGAGCAGATAATAATATTATCATTATCGGAATAGAGCAGTAGTTAGATAAGATTGTATTGAAAGAGATAGATTTTATTTTTGATTATATAGATATTGTGAGTATTTATATGTATTATAAAATTTATTATTTATTTATATTTGTCTACTATATGCGCACAATAAACATTTATAATTTCTAGCAGGCTATCTCGAGTAGAGTAGACATAAAACAAATAAAAATACTCTGTTAAGTTCCTATAAAAATTTTTTTATAACGCATCGCGATACTTGTATAAAAACGGATTCTATATGTCCATGAAAAATTATTCACTTTTACGAAAAACATCTTGTATATATGCAATATCTATATAATCAAATAAAATTATTCCTTTCAATATCTTATCGAAAACTACTGCTCTGTCCGATTATAATAGTATTATAAAATATTTTCATAAAAATAATTTTTATTTATTACAAAGAATTATCTACTAAAACTTTATAATCAATATAATCATACAAAATTTTTATTTTTACGTGTGCATTTTGAGAGAGAAGAGACAGAAAGACAGAGAGAATACAAAGAGACTGAGAAACGGAGACAGATAGATAGATAGATAGATAGATAGATCGATAGGGAGGTCGATAGATAGTTCAATAGACAATACCTAAATATAGATGATAGATAGATATGTATATATATAATATATATATCAATCTATCTATTTAGGTATTTGTCTATTGAACTATCTATCGACCTCCCTATCGATCTATCTATCTATCTATCTATCTATCTGTCTCCGTTTCTCAGTCTCTTTGTATTCCTCTCTGTCTTTCTGTCTCTTCTCTCTCAAAATGCACACGTAAAAATAAAAATTTTGTATGATTATAATTGATTATAAAGTTTTAGTAGATAATTCTTTGTAATAAATAAAAAATATTTTTATGAAAATATTTTATAATACTATTATAATCGGAACAGAGCAGTAGTTCGATAAGATATTGAAAGGAAAATTTTATTTGATTATATAGTATTGCATATATACAAGATGTTTTCGTAAAAGTGAATAATTTTTCATGGACATATAGAATCCGTTTTTATACAAGTATCGCGATGCGTTATAAAAAAATTTTTATAGGAACTTACAAGAGTATTTTTATTTGTTTTATGTCTACTCGAGATAGCCTGCTAGAAATTATAAATGTTTATTGTGCGCATATAGTAGACAAATATAAAATAAATATATAAATTTTATATATACATAAAATACTCACAATATCTATATAATCAAAAATAAAATCTATCTCTTTCAATACAATCTTATCTAACTACTGCTCTATTCCGATAATGATAATATTATTATCTGCTCAATGTCGAAAATACTTTCATAAAAATCATTTATTTTTTACAAAAAATTATGTACTTTATAATCAATTATAATTATTACAGATCGGTCTCTCTTTTTATATATATACAGGGTGTCCTGCAACGTAATGTCCACAGTGAAATTTTATTTCTTGGGATCATTCTAACAATAAGTCAAAAAGTACACGTATGCCCTAAAGTCAATTACAGAGAAAAGACGAAATTGCATATAATAAGATAAATATTATTTATTGAAAATAATAATTTTATTTATGAACAATAATATTATAGAATTACTTTATAAACTGTGCGATAATATAGATCATAAAGGTGTTTTTCTCGAACTTGTGCGGTAAAATAAGGCATACATTGAATCGTTGAGAAATTCATCTTCAGCACGCTAAACAGCAATCAAAATTGAATTTTCGTGACTGGCATTACAAAAAATAATTACATGTGTTGTCATAGTAAAAAATGAATAATAAATAAATGTATAAATAATAAAATTAATTTTTGTAATAATAATTAAAAATTATTTTTTAATTATTATTTACACATTTATTTATTATTATTTTTTACTATGACAACGTATGTAATTATTTTTTGTAATGCCAGTCACGAAAATTCAAATTTTGATTGCTGTTTAGCGTGCTGAAGATGAATTTCTCAACGATTCAATGTATGCCTTATTTTACCACACAAGTTCGAGAAAAACACCTTTATGATCTATATTATCGCACAGTTTATAAAGTAATTCTATAATATTATTGTTCAATAAATAAAATTATTATTTTCAATAAATAATATTTATCTTATATATGCAATTCGTCTTTTCTGTAATTGACTTTAGGGCAAACGTGTACTTTTTGACTTATTGTTAGAATGATCCCAAGAAAATAAAATTTTACTGTGGACATTACGTTGCAGGACACCCTGTATATATATATAAAAAGAGAGACCGATCTGTAATAATTATAATTGGTATTTAAAGTACATAATTTTTTGTAAAAAATAAATGATTTTTATGAAAGTATTTTCGACATTGAGCAGATAATAATATTATCATTATCGGAAAGAGCAGTAGTTAGATAAGATTGTATTGAAAGAGATAGATTTTATTTTGATTATATAGATATTGTGAGTAGAGTATTTATATATATAAAATTTATATATTTATTTATATTTGTCTACTATATGCGCACAATAAACATTTATAATTCTAGCAGGCTATCTCGAGTAGACATAAAACAAATAAAAATACTCTTGTAAGTTCCTATAAAAATTTTTTATAACGCATCGCGATACTTGTATAAAAACGGATTCTATATGTCCATGAAAAATTATTCACTTTTACGAAAACATCTTGTATATATGCAATATCTATATAATCAAATAAAATTATTCCTTTCAATATCTTATCGAACTACTGCTCTGTTCCGATTATAATAGTATTATAAAATATTTTCATAAAAATAATTTTTATTTTTACAAAGAATTATCTACTAAAACTTTATAATCAATTATAATCATACAAAATTTTTATTTTTACGTTGTGCATTTTGAGAGAGAAGAGACAGAAAGACAGAGAGGAATACAAAGAGACTGAGAACGGAGACAGATAGATAGATAGATAGATAGATAGATCGATAGGGAGGTCGATAGATAGTTCAATAGACAAATACCTAAATAGATAGATTGATATATATATATATATTATATATACATATATATCTATCAATCTATCTATTTAGGTATTTGTCTATTGAAACTATCTATATCTCCCTATCGATCTATCTATATTATTTATATATATATATATATATATATATGTATGTATGTGTGTGTGTATGTATGTATATGTATGCATATATAGAAATGTTAATAAAAAAACTAACCTGTACATCCAGCCCTTCTTGAAGGAAACTCTACGTCTCGCAAGAGGCAAACGTTTGGCGTTATATGTTTGTCCCATGGTGTGGACAACACACAAACTCAATAACACACTAAAAAAAACTAACTATATATAAAATATATAGTATGTAAAATTTGACAACGATACGTTGTATACGTGCTTTGTTTACGCGTATGAACGTGTATAACACCGCGCGACGTGAGTAAGGCGTCGCGCAGTAGATCATATCAACGTATAATGCGCGCGGATTACTGTGGTACATACATACTACAGATACCGCGCGAATATAAGATCTGACGCGCATTTTACGTACATAATAAATCGGAATATTTGATAAAAAAAAATATATATATATGTATATATATATATATATATATATGTCCAGTGGCAGTTTCCGGTACAGAAAATAAAAATGGTTCTAAAATATTTCTCTTGCCATTTAATAACTCCTACTTAAATAAAAGAGATGTATTTTTATCCTTTCTAAGGAAAAATCGAATTTGGCAGTTTCCAGGACATTCACAGACTGGTAGATTCCAGGACATGGCAGTTTCCAGACCATTCACAGACTGGTAGATTCAGGACATGGCAGTTTCCAGGCCATTCACAAACTGGTAGATTCCAGGACATGGCAGTTCCAGGCCATTCACAGACTGGTAGATTCCAGGACATGGCAGTTTCCAGGCCATTCACAGACTGGTAGATTCCAGGACATGGCAGTTTCCAGGAAATTTATAATTAGTAGATTCCAGGACATAACATTTCCAGGACATTAGATTCGGAATAGTAGTTTCCGGGACATTTTCACCCTTTTCATACTTTTGATTTATTTCAAGACATAAATATATTTAAATTAAGTAAATAATTGGAGGAAATAAATTATTGGAGAATATAAATATAGGATACTGATAAAAACTGCTAACAACAAAAATTTGCCAATTCTTTTTAATTAATATCTCAATAATTATTACAAAATTTTCAAAAAAAATAAAGAACTTTTTTCTTCAGTTTACTATACCTTTCTCCGCTCTCACGAGCGTTGATACAATTCTTACTAGACATTCTGTATATATATATATATATATATATATACGATATACATATATATAAAAATGTAATTTTTACTACCTTTGTGACTTGCTATCAGTCATATTGAATTTTCATGAAATGGGCCGAATGTGATTGGTTGATCTACTGCGCATCCATGAGAATGACTCGCTTTACTTTCTACCGATATCGTTATTATGGTCCCGCCGCGGGAAAAACCCGGCTCGTCTTAACAACTAAAGTTCTTGATGTATTCCATCACGAACAACCGTTAATTTAACTTACTGAGTGTTACGAAAGAATAAAAATGCCAGCAAAACGTAAGAAATATTTTATTAATTACGTCTGACGTGTAATAATTTACGTTATTTTCTCTGCTTGTAATAAAGCGTGGTCTACAATACGTGAAAAGTAAGGTTGGCGTAAGGATCGAGTAAGAGTAGAAAAATAAGAAGATTATTTTCGGTTTAAACAAGTTGAATTAACGGCGTAAACGAAATAAATTAATTGTATTTCTTACTACTCCTACTTTTACTCTTACGCTTATGTCCTTAATCCAGCTTTTTAAACTGAAAATAACCTCCTCGAAAATATTATTACTCTTTACGCCAGGCTTACTCCACGTATTGTAGATCACGCTTATTTTCCATAATATTTTGAAGAGTGATTTTTTAATGAAATTAGAAAGTAGTTTGTTTTTCATATATTACTTGATATAATATTTTCATGCACCTTAATCTTTTATAAAAAATATTTCTTTAAAATTGCTAATTACTTCAATTTTATTATATTACGTATAATATACTTTAATGCATATATTACTTTACTTTATACTATAAATAAATATATTTTTTTAAATAAAGGTACTAAACAGCGACCTATAAATAAGAAAAACATTGATCATCCAAGCCAATCAGTTTCAGAAAAAAATTTTAAAATACGAAATGTAGCAATCAAACTAGTAGACATTGCAAAACATAAAGAGAAGACAAGTTTAGCTAATGTGGATAATAACAATTTTATTACAAGTAGCAATTGTGAGCCAGAAATTACTTTAGATGACAAAAGAATGGAGACTTCTTTAGATGTCAGCGAAAGAATACAGACTACTTTAGATAACAGCAAAAAAATTAAAACTACTTTAAATGTCAGTGATAGAATGAAAACTACTTTAGATGTCAGCAAAGAAACAGAAACTACTTTAGAGGTTAATGAAAGAATGAAAACTACTTTAGATGTCAGCGAAAGAACAGAAACTGCTTTAGATGTCAGCGAACAAATAAAAGCTACTTTAGATATCAGCAAAGGAATAAAAACTACTTTAGAGGTCAATAAAAAAATAAAAGCTACTTTAGATGTTAACGAAGGAACAGAAACTACTTTAGAGGTCAATGAAAGTGTGAAAACTACTTCAGATGTCAGTGAAAGAATAAAAGCTACTTTAGATATTAGCGAAGAAACAGAACTACTTTAGAGGTTAATGAAAGAGTGAAAACTACTTTAGATGTCAGCGAAAGAATAGAAACTGCTTTAGATATCAGCGAACAAATAAAAGCTACTTTAGATATCAGCAAGGAATAAAAACTACTTTAGAGGTCAATGAAGAAAAAAAGCTATTTTAGATGTTAGCGAAGGAACAGAAACTACTTTAGAGGTCAATGAAAGTGTGAAAACTACTACAGATGTCAGCGAAAGAATAGAAACTGCTTTAGATGTCAGCAAAAGAATAAAAGCTACTTTAGATGTTAGTGAAGAAACAGAAACTACTTTAGAGGTCAATGAAAAAGTGAAAACTGATTTAGATGTCAGCGAAAGAATAGAAACTGCTTTAGATGTCAGCGAAAGAATAAAAGCTGCTTTAGATGTCAGTGAAGGAACAGAAACTACTTTAGAGATCAATGAAAGAGTGAAAACTACTTTAGATGTCAGTGAAATAATAGAAACTGCTTTAGATGTCAGCGAAAAAGTAAATTTAGATGTCACTGAAAGCACAGTGAATGAGTGCAATGATAAAGCTAATACATCTAGCAATATAAGTGATATTATAGATTCAAGTTTAATATTCATTTTAAATAAAGAATCTTCAATATCAGAAAAATATGTGTGAGTTACTTTTTAATATTGATCAACAAACGCATAGCAACGCAAATAATGAATTGACTGAAAATAATTTAAATGGAAATTATATGAATAATAACAATTTTGTTGTTACTGAAAATAAAGACTCGCCAATGCATATACATAACAATGAAGAATTAATATCAATTGATCTACAAGATAAAGAGAATATAAATCAAAACATGATTAATATTGGCTCTCCTATTATTCATGCAGAAATTAAAGGTAAATTATTTTTTAAAATATTTTGTATATTAGATTAGTATAAATATTAGTGTAAATTTTTAATAATTGTTTTTTGTATTCTAAAGACACACATCAGAAAATCAGTACGCATTTTAATGATTGTAATTCAAAGAAAATAACGCCAAAAATTACTGAAAATATTGTATGTAATAAATCATATGCTATCTTAAAACAACACCACACAAACATTGAGATGGAACGAAAAAGAATAAATCTAAAAAAAATAAATAAATATTCGAAATTTAAATTATCTAATGAGAAATCTACATCATTTTTAAATTTATCAAACTGTGGTAAGTGGTAGAAAATAATTTATAAAGATTTTAGATATTTATATTTTATTTTTATAAAAATTAATTATATTTATTAATTTATTTTAAAAATAAGATACTGGAATATGTTTTATCTGATATAGTATATATTTACATATATATCGTGTGTTTCACAACTAGAGTTCCTCTTCTTGATGACAGATTATTGAGGCCATTTGGAGATTTTTTCTCTGCGAAAGTGTCATTACTTTTTTTACAAGATTATATTTTTGTCGCCATGGGCTTTCTTAATTAAACCTTAAAATTCTATTAAAATAAACTCTACTTGAAATTAACTGAATAACTTAATTTTATTAACATTTTATCTCTACAGAGTATAATTTACGAAACACCCTTCTTTCTTAATTAATTATAATTAGGAAACTATTGGTGCCTCGACATTTTCACAGAGAGGAGAAATCGTTTCCAAATGATTTTAGGACATCCTATATACTAAATTGTTTAGCTACACGATTTTAGATATACTTTTAGATATACTGTTTATATACATTTTTTATTTTAGATGATAGCAATAAGAGTTTAAAAATGAGTGAAACTCAAAATACCAGTGAATACAACCCAACTGATGAAACTCAATGTTCATCAGAAATTAATAATACAGAAGTAACGGCAAATGATTCTGATATTAATAATAATAGTATTAATGAAACAAACAGTGCATCCGAAAGCGATGATATAGTCAATTAAAATTTAATGTTCCTGGAAATAGTGCATGTAATGATTTGGAATTAACTGCTGAAATGTCAAATGGTCCTAAAGGTGATAACAAAAAAATTTTTGTGTATTTTGCAAGACTTTACAAACTAAAATAGCGCGTCATTTGGAAAATAAACACTGTGATGAAGATCAAGTTAAAGATTTCTTAAACTTACCAAAAGGATGTGCTGAACGTTGGCACAAAATAGCAAGCATAAGAAAAAAAGGAAACTTTATTTTCAACGCAACAAAGGACTATAATCATGGGAAATTGATAACTGTTAGAAGACCTACAAAAGAGACTAAACGGAATGGTACAAATTTTGTTAATTGTCCTTATTGTAATGGATTTTATGCGCAAAATAATTTAAGACATCATGTACAACAATGTAAGGACAATAAAAATTCAAGTTCAAGTTCCTCTCGACAAATTTTACAAAATGCTCGAAGGGTTCTTGGCAGATATCATCCAAAAACAAGCAGAAGAATGAGAGTAGAAATATTACCGGTCTTACAAGAAGATGAAATATCCAAAGCTATAAGATATGACCGTGCAATATTTTATATGGAAATAATATGTGCAAAAGCCAAGTTCATCAACATCAGAATAATTATATACGAGCTCATTTACGCCTTTTAGGTCGTTTCGTACTAGCTTTGAGAAATCGAAACTCCGAAATTAATACTATAGCTGCTGCATATGATCCACAATTTTATAAAACAGTAATTGAGGCAATTAATGATATGCATTGCAGAATTTGATTACAAAACAAACATGTATAAACGTCCAACTAATGCATCTACTCTCGGCACTTGTATAAAAAAGATCGGTAAAATCTTAGATGTTACATACATGGTAGACAATGATTTAATAAAACGGAAAAAATGTTGAGGATTTTATGAAGATTTATGATGTAGATTTTAGTGGAACTGTAAATAAAGTGGTGATAGAAACTCAAACAAAAGTAAAACGGCACAAAAAGATAGTATTGCCTCGAACAAGTGATATTAAAATTTTAAGTGACTATTTGAAAAAAAAAATACACGAAAATATTAAAGTATTATCAAAAGAATTTTCATATGAAGTATGTAAAGCACTAGCTGAAGCAACACTCATAGCCATTCAAGTATTTAATCGTCGTCGTAGAGCCGGAGAAACTGAAAGAATTTTAATTAATGACTATAAAAACCATGAATGCGCCTGTGGACCTAACACTATATGTAAATTTCTACACAAACCGGCACAACAACTCATAAATATGTTAGATTTTACTATTCGCGGTAAATTAAATAGAACAGTTCCAGTACTATTAGATGCGCAAATGTTCAAAAGTATTCAACTTTTATTACAATTTCGGACAAATGCTAAGGTGCCACCAAATAATCCTTTCGTGTTTGGATTACCTAGTGTTAACAAAGATCACTATAAACATTTAAGAGCTTGTAAACTAATGCGAGGGTTTGCAAGTGAATGTGGAGCTAAAAATATTTCCTCCCTTCGTGGTACTGCTTTGCGCAAACATGTCGCAACAAAATGTGTGGATTTAAATTTATCAGATAATCAAGTAACAAGGGTAGCAAACTTTATGGGTCATCATGAACATACACAAAGAAATTTACAGACAACCTGTTGCTAAAGTTGATATACTAGAAATGTCAAAAATTTTTAGAAAAAGCTCAAGGTGTGGATACGACAACCTCTAACGAAACTGATGTAACTATGAACAATGAAAAGGATAATCTTTCTTTCAATAATCAAGGTTATAGCAACTATACTTAAACATTACTAACTATAATAAAGATTATTTTTAATTTACTATTATATTTTGTTTATTAGATATAACACAGACAATTGTCGATTTAAATGAAGTATCTACTGATATCTCACAAACATTTGTCGATACAAATGAAGAAACTATTGATACCTCAGTAGAAACGAAAAAAAATAAGGAAATACCGAAAAAAAAGAAACAAGAAATAAAGCAAAAACAAATTCCGCAAATAAAAGAAAACAAAATAACGTGATAAAAAAAATACAAACCGAACAGAAGAAGAAATAAAGATAAAGGTATATTGTTTTTATATTATTTTCTTTTATTAAATAATTTTCCTTTTATTTATTATTTTGATCTATATAAGATGTACCCCTTAAAAAGATTTTAATAACAATAAAATTAAAATTAAATAACATTTAAATTTAATCTAGGAAAGAGACA